CACACACACACACACACACACACACACACACAGAGGACAGGGTTCAAACACCATATAACAAAAGGACTGTATAACTGCTAAAAGACTTTAGGCCGGGAGCATGCATTGGCAGAGAATCAAAATTGAAACGGACTGTTAGCTGAATAGGATTTGTGATTCCAACATATGAAAAGACAAGACTTTGTGTACCTGACCAGAGTGGGGAAGGCGAGCAGCTTGCAGAAGGACAGGGAAACAAAGCGAACGCCAGCAGGAGTTGCTGGAGGCCGGCTGGTCATCAGCTGTAGTAGCTGCTCTGCCTCTTCATCTGTTGGTCTGAAAGGGGCCCAATAAGTCTATTATTATCTTTAGGACATGAGATTTTTCAGGTAACCAAAACTTCAAACTAAATAATTGACTGTGGAGCATTTTTATTTTTTGTTTTGTACTGAAAGCATTGAGTTACGTAAGAATAATTAAACACCCACGCTATCAGACTTTAAAATCTGCAAGTATCGAATGTCTGGAGGGAAACTGCATCCCCTTCACACTACCTGAGGCCTGCGATGCCCATGAGGGCACAGTAGAGTCGGAGCAGAGCACTGGCCTTCACCACATGCTCCTCTCTCAGGCCAGAATACCCTGAGCTGCCTTCCCCTCCCATGTCACCGTCATTGGGCACGTGGGTGCTGCGTGAGCGCGGCAGGATGGCGACCAGCTCCAGCAGCAGCTGCCTGCGCATCTGCCACAGTACCGAGCTGCTTTCTCTCTTTCGCTGGCAATACAGAGAGAATGAGAAAGACATAAATGAACTGCTGTGCTCCCATCTAGCTGCCGAGAACAGCAAATGTTAAGCTTTCTTCATTTAAACAGTTCATTGATTAACAAGGTTGTTTGATTTTCTGTGCATCAACATACTAATCTACTGAACCAGCTTTGATGCCAATTACAGTGTATAAGCCGTGATCCGCTCACAGTGAAAAATTTACTTTCATTTATAAACTGCCAGAAACGCTAGCACATATAAAGAAACCATATTCCCTTCATATCTATTTCTAGAACATTAGCTTACATTTTAGGAAATTCAATTTCTGATGGTCAGTTACAGGAAAGAATGGAAGAGACAGAAAACAAAATCCCTACCAGTAATTGAAGTTGATTGTTGAGGGCATACATTGTATATTGATTGAATACTGAATATTAGCACCACTACTACAGACAAACATTTTTGTCGTCACCTCACAAAAAAGTACTTATGTCCTCCACTCACCACGATGAGACAAAAAGCTCACCTGTTGTCCATTGCGAATAAACATGCTGAACCAGGTACGGACTTTGCTGTTGGTACCCAGCAGCAGTCCGCTTACATAAGACACCAGAGGACTGACAGCTTCATCTGGTGTCTCTGGTTTATAGTCAAGAGTCAGGGCCACACCCAGACCAGGCAGGTGGCACTCCTCCACCTGAGGACACATAGAGGTAACATGCATACAGTATATTATGTCCTTTATTTAAGAATTACTCACTCTGTAAATTCATAATTGTTGCCATGAGTGTATTCAGAACTTGAAGTGATGTAACATATGTTGTTTTAGTGATTTCAAAATGCTATTTCTAATGGTAAAGTCTACTTCAAAGTAACAGCTGATCCATAACAAACACCAGCTGCCGACAACTACGGCAGATTCCTCTCTAATATGTTATAATTTCAGCACAACATGCAGTTGTACAGTTGCCCGTCACAGTCTAATTTTTTTCGCCAGTTTTATAATGAACCAAAACATTTTTTTTATAATTCTCATTAAAACATAAAAAGATCTCTAATGAGTGTTTTGTGCTGTTGCTTCATTATGGAGCCATGCTAACTGATTCCAAACTGCAGATTCCAAATTCCAGAAATTGCTCAAAGAATTCATTTTCTTCTGATCTTATGATAATAGTGTAACTGACCACCATAGCTCTGATGTTGAGGGCTTGTGAGGGGTTCATCTGACATAGCTGTCGCAGTGCTTCAGTCCTGCGTCGACCACCCAGACTCTCCTCATCCTGACGTTCTCCATTCTTGATCAAACCTCTGCAAACTGCACAGAGAGACATGCACATTTAAAAAACATAATTTTGTGGGAACGTGTTTTGTTTTTCCTCTTTGTTTTGTTGTTCTGTGCTGAAGATGAAAATTGTTTGATTGTATGAAGTTAAATTAAGTGAACATTTCTATTTACTACTTCAACAAACCGTACTAATATTGGTCTTGTAGAGCCAGGAGGAATAAGGCATGTTCTGTCATTAATACATAGAATCACAACTCATTTATTTGCCAGTAAATACGATTTAGCAGCCATCAGAGGACATAATTTCCAAGGCTTTATCTATCTTTCTTTCTTTCTTTCTTTTCCCTGTGCTTCCCCATATCTGATGGTTTAAAAGGCAAACAATTTATGGTTGAGACTATGTCAGTCACTGACATAACATTAGCTGCCATCTCAGTCACTTCTGCATTATTTGAAAGAGCCAATGGAGTTAGGTCTGATCCTCTTGTGTCCCATGTGACAGACCTTCATGCTTCTAGACAGTCATTTTCCACCCTCAAAACAATTCATTTTCGATTTATTTGAGCTACTTCTTGTCCAGTAACAAAGGCAGAATGATTCCTTGACATTAACTGCCATGTAGCACACACAAAAAAGCCATCAACTTCGCTCTGACCCTCTGTGTGACAAGCAGCCACTGGAGAGAGCCAGCACTTTATGAGTCTCTCAAAGGACACACTGCACTCTCTATGAGCCAGAGCAGGACAATAATGTTCATCATCAATCAAAGACAAATACACACACACTCAAGCCTGTAGCATGGGTAGAATTATGGGAAGGATATAGCTCAACTCTGAATAAAAATATGCAATGGCAACTCAATTACAATCTGCCCATTATTATAATGAAACCATCAAGGAGACCATGTGGAGTTATTTCTTCATAAAGGTCTATTTCTGCCAGCAGACACACTCTTAAACTACATGAAGCAAGTACAGGCCTTTAACAGCAACTTACTCTCATATTATCAGATGAGATTATGTGTAGTGTTGTGACACAGGTGAATTACCTTCATTGAAGCTGTCAGGGACATTGGCAACCAACAGACACAGAAACCAATCACCATTGCGCACATGTAGCAGAGCTTCTGCCACATCCACAATGGGTAGCAAGGACGGCAGCTCTAATAAAGAGAGAAAATAAGCATAGTATAAATATTTGAAATTTCTTTAATTCACCATGATGCCCTGCTTTCCTATTAAGGGATAGTTCACCCAAAAATGAAAATTCACTCATTATCTACTCACCACTTTGCCGATGGAGGGGTGGACTTTCAGGGGGTAAACAGTGTTGTTTGTTGTCTAATGTTTGAAGAATTGGTTACCATTAACTTCAATTGTATTGGAATTGGCTGCAACGCTCTTTAACCCTGAAACTCTACCCCTCTATTGGCATAGCGGCTCAAAAGCCTTTTGATTTGGACCTGTCTTATCAATTTCTTGAGATGTAAAACCATAACTGAAAATGTATAGTAAATAAAGAGAGGCCTTCCTTTATGGGTCTCCATATTAATCGAGCTTATCTTTCACATGACTCCTTTGCTATAGCCTTCTGGATCCTACAATTCTCATACCTGCAAGGGTGTACAAAATGTCCTGTATTTAACATTATCTCACTTCTAACTCAGAATATTAAAATAACAAAAGAAGTTGAGCACCTGCTTGTAAAATACAGAGGACATCTGCGACCTCTTCCAAGTAAACCAGGCTTTCAAAAAGTTCAGAAGACTTTAAGAAAAATTCTCCATTTGAGTCTGTCACCTGAAAAACAACAAGGGGAAATGAAAGAGATTGTGTGGATCAAGCATTCAACTCAGCCTGTTCAGCGAGGTTAAAAGAAGGCAAGAGAGCAGCTAGCATAAATATAAGACTCATTCCTGATGCCAAATTAGCCTTTGATGAAAAATCTTGTTTCTTTCATGTGAAACTATTTCTGTAAGGATATTTTAATTATTCATTAATTTGAACTCACTCATTTAATACTTATTTCCTAATGTTCAGACCACTGTCTCTCTATATTCAAGAATCAATCAGATGTCTGTTTTATATCTCTACATTACACAAAAGACAGCAGCTCAGATTCGGGGCATGGTCAAACATACACGAATGTGAAGCAAATATCATCAGTATCATCACCCCCTCCCACACTTGCTCATGGTGAATCCAGCGGGGGATCCCCTGCTGTGTTCTTACATCGACTTCTCCTGGATTTCTACAGACATTATACGGGGCCCTGGCTGAGAACGTCCGCAGAGACTGTGGAGCATCTCACTCTGACATTTACGTTCACACATGCACCTCCTCCGGAGAAAATACAGAGCAACTGCAGAGTTCAGTGCATGTCTGAAAGAAGCCTGTGTTTTACCATGCCCAAAGGCTGGTCACAATCATGATGTCTTGTTTTCTTAAGTTTCACCTCTCAATGATGACACTTATCTGGCTAATTCAGGGTGGCATACCACCTTTTAAACACACTGCTAATTTTTTGTTTGTAGGTTTGCAGTCTTTCCTTGTCATTGTCTAGATTTTATTAATTGCTTCTGAAGAAAAAGACAGTACAAAGCCAAGTTAAATAATATTATCAATGTCCAATAGTTTCCTGAATTACAGATGGACCTCTGACTTTACCTTATTCATGATGGCCAACAGTTCACTGAGGGTCAGACGGAGCCTCCTCAGGGGATCACTGTGTTCAAACTCCAGGGTCAGTCCATGCTGAAGCTGTGACACCAGGATGCTCTCTCCGTTAGAGCCGCCGGCCTTGTGCCTGGCAGAATAGACTAAAATGAATTCCCAATCCCCACATCGGACTGTGGAATCATGTTACAATGTGTGTGTCTGTCATACCTAAGCTGCTGCTCCTTCCGTGCATCCTGCTCCAAGGCGTGAAAGTCAACAGACAAAAGAGCAACAATGGAATTGACAGCCTCCACTCCTGAGAGCAGGCGAAGGATGAGCTTCTTGTCCTGAGCCCAGGACTGGCTCTGATCAGCTGGGGCGCACAGAGCCATCCTCACCAGGCAGGGAAGCAGCAGCCTGAGCTCTGGATCACTGAGGGCAGCCAGGCGCACTACATCCACCTTCTGCATGGCTTCAAAAGCATAGCTGCTGACAAACTGCAGCCCTGCACTGTCTGCCATCTCTCTGCAGCTGAGGGGGAAAGGCAAAACAGAGAATTTAAACGGAAGCACTTAAACTACACAGTCTTTGAGTCTTGAGGGAAGCGTTGAGCAAACATCACAGAAACTGAGTACAGAAACTTTTCTAAACAGTAGCCTGTCCGGCGAGGAGACCTCAGCTAGCACAAGCTACATGTAACAACACACACACATGGATTTCATTTCTCAAGTTACTGCAGCTTCCTTTGACCCTTTCTGGGTTTGTCATTGATTCGGTTGTATGTGTTTATTCGTAGATATTTCCAACAAAATGATTTAGTTAACATCAAGGTTACAAAACAAGCTAGTGTTAGCAGTTTGATAAAGGGTTGGGCTAACGCATCTGTTAGCGCTAATGCTAGCTAATACTTGAACTATTTAATATCGTCGACATTACCTTGTGTGGAATTCGTTTCCCCCCCAAGTCAGAATCAAATTGTTTTTTCGACTTTCAATTATATGAACGTGTATATTTTTAAAGCGGAAGTAATATTGTAAGATATCCGCTAGTGAAAACTAGGCGACTTATCACCGCTAGCTGCTCGCTAGCCTGGAGTTAATACACTTTTACCCACTGGTCACCGCTAAAGCTAGGCTAGGCTAGGCTAACAATAAGGCTGACGCTTGTGCTCGCTGCTGTCGTTTAAGAACCTGGTGGTTAATATAATACAATAATTCAACAACAGTAATCTTACCTCGCGTATTATGACGACGTCCTCTAAGAAGAGCGTTCACCATCGAGGCCTTGAGACCTCGGACTGGGTTTCCCACCACCGGGCTCTACAGGAGAATCCTGAGTCAACCACAAGAGGGAGGACAGTCTGTCCACACATGTGCCGGTAGGAAGGTTTATAGGAATGTCTTTAGCATGTGTGTCTTTCACGTCCTGTCTCGTGTAGTTTCCGCATGTCCACTTAGATGTGAAGTTTATCTGTGACAGTGTGACAGTGAGCGGACTGATCCAGTCTGCACCGTGTGCAGCACTGACAGCACAATGCTCCAGTCCAGCCCCCCAGCACGCACGCACGCACACACGCACGCACACACACACACACACACACACACATACTACTACTACCACCAGTATTACAACTACTACTCCAACTTATGATAATGATATTAATGATATTATATATTATTATTAGACTGCTCTTATAAAGCATCTCCTTATGAAAACACACTTACATTCTCCAGATTCAGATTTTTATTTGGATCTGCACCAAAATTCACACACTCAGAAATCAGTCCTTCAAACCTGCCTGATTTTTTCCATCAACATCCATAAATTATTCTCTGAGAAAACAGGGAAAATGTTGAAAAACACAAACTACCTCGCAATGTTAAAGAAAAAAAAATCTACATCCTCCCCCTGATCCATATCTGCACCAACATTTAAATGGTTGTCTCCTGATTCATATCACATCCTTCCACCTGGTTTAGTGAGAAGTATGTCCATCATGTTTTTCTGTAATCGTGTGACTTTTTGACTCCAGAAGTGAAAAGCTGCTAAGTTGCGCTGATGTCAGGTGACTGACTTGGTCACTGAAGAATTTCCCATTTCTTTCCCTGGAAAAGCTGCTGTCGTCTAGACTGAGTCATTATCCATGGTGATGCATCGTCCTATCACTTTTCTACTATTCTGCTAAATCTGAGCAGATAGCCCTGAACACTTCAGATGTCTACCTGCTACTCCTACCAGCAGTCACATCATCAATACACACCATTCACTCAGGTCCATTTGGAGCCACATTGGCCATGTCAATACTCTACCTCCTCCATGATTGACACGTGAGGACAAGTGAATCTTAGGCTTTTAATGTTAGATTAGCAAACTGTTAACTGGCCTTTTTGTTCTCTAGTGTTGCTAGATGTTTGCACCTTAAAGCCTCTGTATTTAGATGTCTCTTAATTGTAGACCCGATATGTCAACCTCCCTCAAATTGTTTGTGAGCTGGCTGCATGTTGTAATAAGGTTTATCTTCACCGAGGAAACAATTCTGTGATTATCCACTTTAATTGTCTTCAGTGGTCCCCCAGGCCTTGTTGATTGTGTCGATGAGCTCACCTTCTTTTTAATGATGCAACAAACTGTTGATTTCCCAAACTTTGTCCTATAAATCTACCTTTAATTTTCTTCACTCGTAGCATACTTCTTTAGTTTGCATATTGTTCCTGTGAACACCTGCCAAAAGTCAATTCTACACTTGAATTAAAGTAAAAAAAAAAATAAATTCTGCACTTAAATCCATTCAGGTGGTGTACAAAGGCAACATTACAGAAGTTCTGTTGCTGTCCAAGGTACAATATAAAATCTAATTGAATTTGCAGGGAAGGAGCAGTGTCAACATTACTCTCCCTTCAAATGATTTGCCTTTACTTTATCAGGGCAACTGAAAGAGGGGAAATAGCAAAAGACAAGGAAAGGGTTACCTGATGAGCACACCTTGGATAAATAAACCGAGAGTGTCATTTTGAGAATCATTCGCAAACAAAGACGTATTTGCAAAATAGAATTGATACATTTGAAGAGCACAATAAACTATGACCATTATGAATGTGTCTAAAAAGAGCATATCAATATTTAACTTGGCATGGCTAGCTTGGCTTTAATTATGAGGCTTTATGCAAACAAACACCATAAATGTCTGTTGACATCTAACTTTTAAGACCTCTCTCTTAAAGGTAAAGTGTGTTGAATTTAGTGATATCGAGTGTGGAAGTTTCATGTTGCAGCTGAACACCCCTCACCTCACCCTCTCCTTCCAAACATGAAAAATAACCTGTGGTAGCTTCAGTTGTCATAAAAACTCAAAAGTTTTTAATTTGTTCAGTCTGCGCTACTGTATAAAACATGGCGGCCTCCGTACAGAGGACCCCCTCAATGTAAGTATTTAAATATAAAGGGTCTTTTCTGGGGTAAAGAAAACTACAGTTCATACAATTTAGATGACATGAACTAGTGAAAACATCATGAGGATTATTCTACATTAAATGTCTGCCAATAGATCCCTTTCACCTAAATCTTACACACCGGACCTTTAAATGCTGTAGATTCCACCTCCCCAGTCATTGAGATGCTATTAGAGTAAATTCCACTTCATCTTCAAGGGCACACCGACAGCAATTGCTGAGGGATGGAGTTAAACAGAGCAGGACCTCTGTGTATTCAAAGGCTGCTGACTGCAAGAAGAAATGCAGAGAACTCTCAAATGAATGAATCGCCAGCTGCTACTTCATGACTCCAGGGCAATTCTGCAGGCTCATTTCTATGCCTTTCTCAGTGTGCTAGTGAGGTAACAAGCTTGCAGAGCAACTGTATTACAGAAGCAGATGATTACTTCAAGCAACCATGATTTCCCAAAAAGAAAACATGGCACCGGACTGAAAATATATTTTTCAGGGTTTTTTATTAAATGTTGAATGTATTTATCTACACTCAAAAGAGACCAATTACATTTTGATGGTCAACAAATTTAGGCAAATATGCAAAGTAATGAGCAATACCAATGAATTTCCATCAAAAGTACATTTTCCCTCTGAAACAGGAGAAATCCAGAAAATAGATTTCCTCCTCCTCTGAGCACAAACACTGCATATACAACGGGCACCCATCCACGGCTGGTTAAAGTTCATGTACATCACACATTTACTTTAAAGGTTCATTGTGTAGAATTCAGTGACATCTAGTGGTGAGGTTGCATATTGCAGCTGAATACCCCTCACCTCACCCTCCCCTTCCCAACATGAAAGAGAACCTGTGGTAGCCTTCAGTTGTCATAAAAACTCAAAAAAGGTATTTAATTTGTCCAGTTTGGGCTACTGTAAAAAACATGGCAGCCTCCGTACAGAGGACTCACTCCTGATATAAATATAAAGTATTTAAATATAAAGGCCCATAGGGTAAAGAAAACAACATTCGCACAATTTAAATGAAATACTAGTGAAAACATCACTAGTATTATTTTATATTCAATTTCTGCAAATAGATCCCTTTCGTCTAAATCTTACACACTGGACCTTTAACACGGATGTGAAATCGGATTATCTAAATGCTTCCATAACCAAATCAGAAGTGAGAGAGAGAGATGAGCTGAAAAGGACCCTGCATATCTGCCATTAAAACAACCTTTCTCGCATTCTTTCTCTCATTTACACCTAAAAACAAAATCAAACCTGAGGTCAGCTACTTCCAAGAGATTCCAATAGTTGTTCCACTCCTCTATTGGTGTCCTTGTCCAATTGCACATCACAGTCCCATTCCCCAAAGCAATACACACAAGCACAGGAAAATAAGTTGACGAACTTTATTCCTAAAACAGAAGCCACACCACCAACTGCTGGCATGGCATTCATATATAATTATTTATATATATTGCCGTTTGGTTTTTGTGTCTAAATGTGTGGTATAAAATACTATATACAACAATGTACCTCTTTATTTGAACACAGTGAAGTGCATTGCTGTACAAGACCTCTGTAGCTACAGCTTTGCTGTAAGTCCTTCATGCTCAAAGGCATGGAACATAATTTTCCACTCTAATTCTTCTGTACATTGTGACAATACAAATATTCTGTCTCCATTACAAAAAATAATACTCTAAAAGCAACCTACTGGGACTTTATTGAATTTTTATGGGGTTTTTTCCTGGTTGTTTTTTAATTAAGACGATTACATATATCTTAGACCAATTGCTTTAAAGCAGGAAGGTGATATAAACCTTCTCCATTTTATATATAAAAGAGGTTAAGAAATAAGACAAATTATACATTTAAAAACAATAAATAAAATGGATGCAGGCATTCATTTGGATACTATTTCATCCAAAGGAATAAAAAGGAATTTCAGGTCTTAAAACCAAAGATCCATTCTTTAGTTTTTTCCTTGATCAAATATGTCCCTTTTCTTCCAATAACTTTACAGATAGATTCGTCTCTTCAATACAGACTGGCCAGTGACTGTGCTGCCATGCTACATACCATAACAACCAATCTGTCATTCTCTCACGTTCATTAATTGCAACTCAACTTCTGGTTTCCCCTCTTCTTTTTTTCCCTTGTCTCTATGTGCATGTCTTTAAATCACAGGGACAGGACTGTCCTGACAGTCGCGGGGGGACAGGAACATCTCAGCTTTTAACAGCCGTCCGATCCTATCTCAGTGCAAGATCCAGCTCCGTACTCTGGTCTGGTTCTTGCAGTTTTCTTCAGTCGTGACGAAACTCTCTGACGAAAGTTGGCACCTTTCCTCTTCTGTGAAATGTTTGGCCTACATCCCTCCTGTAACAGGCTGTCGGTTACAACATGTTCATGATGAAGTTGTACATCTGGTTGAGCACCACAAAGTGAATGGGTAGACATGATCGTCGGTCCTGTGTGGCCGGGTCACACGTCAGCCAGGAGAGGGCGTTGTACTGCTCCAGAACATATCTGTCAAGGCATATAAAGAGGGAAGCAGTTATTTGTTTCTAATTTGGAGATGTTCACAGGTTGACACACTTGGCTATGGACAGTATTTCATAAAGACATCATCTGGAACTCATCTGAATGACAAAATATTGACTAAATTGTTATTTGCCCTGTAGAATTTGACTTAAATAAAAATAAAAGTATAAATAAAAGGAAACATATCCAATTCAAAAAAGAAACTGAGTGTACACAAACAATTTTAAGCTAAAAAAATGTGAATAAAAACTATAAATATCACCCAGGAAACACAGCTGACATGGTGCCGATAGTATTTTGTGCAGTTGACCTGTGTTGGAAGCGTGTTCTGCTGTTGTTTACCTGAGAACATCTGAGGTCTGATTGGAGTCGAGGGGGTGGGAGTGTTTGCTGTGCAGCAGTTCATCTGATTGCACTGAAGACACGTGGAGGTGCAAAGAGGCCTGGGAGAGGAGGGGGGGGCACAAGGAGATGGTTCAGTATCTTAATGAAGTTATTAACCTTTTATTACATCTCATCTAAATAATCACTGCTCTATTAGAAGCAGAGTGACAGCAGTGCAGAGTCTGTGGCTA